AAAAAAAAAAAGAAAACAACCAAAACCAGAGTGTTGATACCATAATGACTACACATTTAGAAAACAATGGGCATTAATTAGAAATCAGTAATTAAAAAAAGGAACACCTGTGCCTCTGTATGAAAAAATACACTCCACAGTATGAGATCTCACAAATTGCCTAGGATTTCAAGAAGGCTTGCAGACATTCCCATTCCTTACATTTAGACATTTTCTCTAGGATGAGTTTTTACATGTCTTCGAAAATAGGCAGGACAAACAAAGGCTTTGTCACATTCCTTACATTCATAAGGTTTCTGTCCAGTGTGACTTCTCACATGTCTTCGGAAGGATGAGGGACAACTGAAGGCTCTTCCACATTCCAAACATTCAAAAGGTTTCTCTCCAGTGTGCATTCTTGCATGTACAGTAAGATATGAAGAATGACGAAATGCTTTCCCACATTCCTTACATTCATAGGGTTTCTCCCCAGTGTGTGTTCTCATGTGGATCCTAAGAGCTGAGGGATAAATAAAGGCTTTCCCACATTTCTTACATTCATAAGGTTTCTCTCCAGTGTGAGTTCTTTTATGTACTGTGAGGTGGGAGGAACTAATAAAGGCTTTCCCACATTCTTTACATTCATAAGGCTTGTCTCCACTGTGAGTTCTTAAGTGTTCAGTGAGCGATGAGGAACGACTAAAGGCCTTTCCACACTCCTTACATTCATATTGTATCTTTCCAGTGTGCTCTCTCATGTGAGTTCTAAAGGATGAGGGACAGCTAAAAGCTTTCCCACATTCCTTACATTCATAAGGTTTCTCTCTACTTTGATTTTTCACATGTGTATTAAGGGAAGTGGGAAGATAGAACGCTTTTCCACATTCCAGACATTCATAGGGCTTCTCTCCAGTGTGTTTTCTCATATGGATACTTAAGGAGGAGGGACAATTGTAGGCTTTCCCACATTCCTTACATTTATAGGGTTTCTCTCCAGTATGTGTCCTCACATGTACAGTGAGTTTTGAGGACTCACTGAAGGCCTTCCCACACTCTTTACATTCATAAGGCTTCTCTCCAGTGTGAATTCTTATATGTATTATAAGGTGAGAGGAAGAACTGAAGGCTTTCCCACATTCCTTACATTCATATGGCTTATCTCCACTATGAATTCTTTTGTGTTTGGAGAGTGAAGAGGAACAACTAAAAGCCTTTCCACATTCCTTACATTCATAAGGCTTATCTCCACTATGAATTCTTTTGTGTTCTATAAGGGATGAGGAACAACTAAAAACTTTCCCACATTCCTTACATTCATAGTTTGTTTTCCCAGAGTGAATCTTCATATGTGCCCTAAAGAATGAGGAACAACTGAAGGCTTTGGTACATTCCTTACACTCATAGGGCTTCTCTTCAGTAGGAGTTTTCATATGCTTCTTAAAACAAGCAAGAAAATGGAAGGCTTTCCCACATTCCTCACACTGGTAGCGTTTCCTTCTAGTATGAGACTTGATGTGATTCTTAAGGGATGCATGATCCACAAAGGCCTTTCCACATTCACAGCATTCATAGGATTTTACTTCGGAGGTTCTCTGGGGCATATCAAGATGTGGAATTGTGAAGGTTTGTCCATGTTGATTTTCTTCATAACATTCATAGATGTTCTTCACCATATGAGTTCTTTTAAAAATAAAAGAAACACCATTAGTAATACGTTTTTACCATTTTCAGTGAATGTGTATGTCTTCTGCCCTGTCAAGATACAGCTAAAAGTTCTCACAGGGGACTCTATCACAGCGAATATTGTTACTGAGTTTCTGATTTCAGGTATTTTTCTAGTGTTTACTACTGAATTTACATGTCAGTCAATGTCTCCATCTCATTTGTAGAAAAATACCTAGTGACAATTCTCTGTGAAATAACCCTTTTTGACCTAGGCTTATATACACATTTCTTAAATTTTGTGGCATTTGAAAATTCTCTCTTGAGGCTTAACTGCCTCTTCTATGAATGATACTCACCTCAAATGTCTCTCATGGCTTTTATTTTGGTCATCAATACCACAATATTCCCAGTTTTCAGGTAAAATAGAGGTCCAGGAATCATTTATTTTGAATCTCACTATTTTCTGTTCATTGGAAAATTTCTCTCCACAAATATTTTGAACTACCAATCCATTAGTTTTAAGTTGAGTCACAAAATCTGAAACAAAACAGTGACAGCACTTGTGAGCAAAGGACTTAGCAGAGCAGCTATTTCAGGACTTTCACATCAAAGTGCTCAAGAGTTAAAATGTTAAGCAATGAACTAAGAAATAATACTATGAAGACTGAGAGTAACATAGTTATGTTATTACTGGAGATTAGAAAATGTCCTATATAGAATTATTATAGGCCATCATTAGGAAAGCAAAATAGAAAGGGACTGAATAAAATGCACATGACCAAATACTAACTTACAATAAGGAAATATGGAAGGTCTTTATGAAGAACAAGGAACGTGTGAAAGGATTGATAAAAAGTCAAAAGAGTAATCTGGAATATCTGTGGATGATCAGACTCCTCAGATAAAACAAAGTATTTCTAATTTGAATTTTTTCCCCAATAAGGACAGTTTCTCCCAAGGATTCTTGCCTTCCTGTTGTTCTACTGTACAGATGTCCTGGATAAGTCCTCTTTTCGTTGTCTGCAGGTGCTCCTCTTGTTCCCACTGGGAGACCAGATGAGATGTATGTAATGGATACCCTGTATATGCAGACAGGCATATGATGAGGGAAAACAAAGAAGAACCACAAACATTTATGTAAGATAGGACCAAAGCTTTGGTCTTCTGATATCCTAAAGATGGGCAAGTAAGTAAGAGTTTAACTGCAATAACATGTTTGTAAAATTTATTTAAAAAAGAAAAAAGCAGCGAAGGGGGAAGGAAGAAGCCTCAGACAAATAGAACCAATCTAACATTCATGGATCCATTTCAATATTATTAAAAGCTAGTTTGAGAATAACAGCCAGGGCATTCTGTTCTCCTATAGAACATAAATATTCTTCCAGAATACCAACTTTGGACAAAGGTACTCTGAGATCATGATGAAATGAAACAAAACAAGACTACTTCATAATTTTTTCTAAAGGTACTATGTCACCCACAAAACACTCAATCATAGAAACGCCCTCACTTTTGGTCAGCAACCAATCTAAAGTGACTGCCTGTCTACTAGGTTGAACAGTGCCTGCCCAAAAGTCATGTTCAAATATATCAATGGAACAGAATAGAGAGCTCATAAACAGATCCATATCAATAGATTCAACTATGACAAAAGAGAAAAGGCAATACTAAAGAGGGTAGTCTTTTTCACAAATAGTACTGGAACCACTAGACATCTGTATATACACACACACAAAAATGAATCTAGACACAGAACTCATACCCTTCACAAAATTTAAAAAAATTAATTACAAATGGATCACAGAATACAAGCCTTATACCTGTCACAAAAACTAACTCAAAAATGGATCAAATATCTAAATGTATAATGAAAAACTAGAAAACTCTAGAAGACAGCAGGAGAAAATCTAGATGAGTGGGTTTAGCAATGACTTTTTTTTTTTTTTAAGAAATAAATGTCTCACTCTGTTGTCCAGCCTGGAGTATAGAAGCACTATCATAGCTCCCTGCAGCCTTGAATGCCTGGGCTCAAGCAATCCTTCTGCCTCAGCCTCCTCAGCAGCTGGTACTGTAGGCATATGCCACCACATCCAGCTAATTTTTAAGTTTTACATAGAGAGAGGGGCTTGCTGTATTGCCTATGCTGGTCTTGAGCTCTCAGGCTCAAGAAATCCTCCTGCCTCAGCCTCCCAAAGTGATGGGATCACAGGTGTGAGTCACTACACCTAGGGAGTAATGACTTTTTAAAAGTAACACCAAAGGTGTGAAACAAGAAATTGATAAGTAGACTTCATTAAAATTAAAAATGTTCTGTTCTGGGGTGGCTGTGGCTCAAAGGAGTAGGGCGCCAGCCCCATATGCCAGAAGTGGTAGGTTCAAACCCAGCCCTGGCCAGAAACTGCAAAAAAAAAAAAAAAAAAAAAAAAAAAGAAAGAAAAGAAAAATGTTCTGTTCTGTGAAAGACAATGCCAAGACTGCTCTATGAAATACAGTATCAAGAGACTGAAAAGATAAGCCATAGCTTGGAAAAAAAGTTCCCAAAAGACATATCTAATACAAAGACTGATTCCCAAAATATACAAATAACTCTTAAACCTTAAAAATAAGAAAACAATCTAACAATAACAACAAAAATGATCCAAAAACCTTAGCGGACACCTAACCAAAGAAGATATACTGATGGTGAATACTCCACATCATATGTCATCAGGGAAAGTAAAATTAAAACAACATACTATTATACACCTATTAGAATGGCCAAAATCCAAACACTGAAAATATCAAATACTGGAAAGGATGAGAAGCAACAGGAATTCTCATTCATTGCTGATGGGAATGCAAAATGTACATCCACTTTGGAAGATAGTTTTGCAGTTTACTTATAAAATTAAACATACTCTTATATAATCCCACCACTGAATTGTGCTTGTTGAATTTGCCCAAAGAAACTGAAAACTTATGTCCATATAAAAATCTACAAATAATGTTTACAATAGGTTTATTCATAATTGCCAAAACTCAGAAGCAATCAAGATGTCCTTTCAGTAGATGAATGGATAAACAAACCATGATACATCCAGACAATATAATATTATTCCAAGCTAAAAAGAAACGAGCTCTCAAGTCATGAAAAAATGTGAAGGAAACTTAAATGCATGCTACTAAGTAAAGAAGCCAATCTGAAAAAGCTACACACTGCATGATTCCAACTATACAACATTCTACAAAAGGAAAAATTATAGGAATAGTAAAAAGATCTGTAGGATTAAGTGAGAGGGAGAGATGAATCAATGGAGCACAAAGGATTTTCAGGGCAGAAAACGACTCTGTATAATACTATAAAGGTGGATACATGTCACTATACATTTATCCAAAACCATAGAACATACAATGCCAAGAGTGAGCTCTAAATGTAAACTATGGACTCTGGCTGATGATGATGTATTGATGTAGGTTTATCAGTTGTAACAAATATACCACTCCAGTAGGGGATGTTGATGGAAGAGGTATTACCTGATGGAAAACAGAGATTATAAGAAAATCTCTGTATTTTCCAAAAAAAG